TATCGTTTACTCGGTTTTCCTGGGTCTTTTCACGTGTTTTATGAATAAATTTTCTTTTTTTCGGTACCGGTACTAGTTTTATTTTGTTGTATTTATCCACGACACATTAAAGGCCGGTCCGTGAAAAGATTGTCAGGCTGCCTTTGATGATAAGAGGCTGCGGGGGAGGGGGGTTCTTCCTGAAATCCAGTATTACTTCCTTAGTCTTGTCCGTGTTGAGGATGAGGTCATTTTCCTCTCCATAGGCAAGAACAATCTACCAGAGTCCTGTACCCAGACTCGTTCCCCCCCTTGATGAGCCCCAGGATGGTGGTGTCACCAGCATATTTGATGATATGGAGTTTTCCTGGGTGGAGACACAGTCATGGGTGTACAGGAGTTTGGGGCTGAGACAGCGGCCCTGTCGAGATCCAGTGCTGACGGTGAGCTCAGCAGAAACGTGCCCTCCCATTCTCACCACCTGTGGTCTGTCTGTCAAAAAGTCCAGAATCCAGTTGCAAGTGGGAGTTGGGATGCCGAGGTCTGTCAGCTTCTCCGTCAGCTTGCCCGGGTGGATGGTGTTGAAAGCTGAGCTCTAGTCCAACATCTGCTGCTCTCCAGGTGTTGCAGAGTAGCTATTGCTGTTGCATCATCTACTGATCGATTGGGGCGGTATGCAAACTGGACGGGGGTCTATGGTGTCCAGGACCCTGTGGTTGATGTGTGTGAGAACCAGTCTTTTTAGACACTTCATAACGACTGGTGTGAGGGCCACTGGCCTGAAGTCGTTCAGGGAGGAGCTGTCCAGTCTTTGGGAACTGGTATAATGATGGAGGATTCAAAAATACACGGGACTACTGCCTGGGATAGTGACAGGTTGAACATATCAGTGTACACAGCTAGTTGTTCCCCACAGGCCTTCAAAACTCTGGGAGGAACTCCATCGGGTCCCACAGCCTTGTGGGGATTCACTTTTTCAGAGCTATGTGATAATAAAGATGACATGGAAAATGCAAAGGAACACAAAACATTACCGACAGGTTGCTACCCCACCGCAGTGTTAAGGAAGATACTTTTACTGTGCCACATTCATAAATAAGCACATTACTCATTTGCACTTCAGATGTCCCATTAGTAACTAAAATAAACAACTCAATGAAGCAGTGTTGTGCTTACACAGAACTTATAACCAGTGTTGGTCAAGTTACTTGAAAAAAGTAATCAGTAACTAATTACCGATTACTTCCCCAAAAAGTAATCCTGTTACTTTACTGATTACTTATTTTCAAAAGTAATTAATTACCTAATTACTTAGTTACCAAGTTACTTTTTAAAAACACGATTTACAACCTGAATAGGTGATAAAGTGATAGATCTTTCAGCCCAATTCTACTTTTTCTACATAATCATCATACAAAATGTAATCAAATGGAAAAGTCTCTTTTTAAAACTTGTTTTATTAGTTTTAATCTTTTAACTTTATGCATCAAGCAAAAATTTAATTATATGCAACATTCTCTGACTGGAAGAAATTTGTTTAACATTTAAACCTATTTTCTGCACATTCCAGCACATAAAATAAAATATTTTTTGTGTGTTTACACTCACTCTTTCAAATAGATGCAAGTAAAACACAGTAGAAAATAAATAAAGTCAAAGACTAGCGGTCCTGTTGCTCTATTTTCACCTGTAAAGCAGGAGTGGGGTAGGCGGAGGTTTACCCTGGTGCAGGTGTGCTGCAGCGGTCAGTGGAAGAATCCGCGAGTTTCTCTGTGAGTTTCCCATTACGTCGTAGCTACTCGGTGCTTGCTCGGAAGTTTAGGGGTTTTTTTGCTGTAAAAAGAAGTTTTCTTCCCACGCACAACGGACACTAATGTTTTTGTCACTTTTTATGGAATCAAACTCAAAGTAAGGTCAGTACTTCCACGCTTTAAACGCTGCACGCTCATACTCTCTCTGCACTCGATATATGATCCATTGTTGATCTGCACACAGCTGTTGTCACGAACGTCGCACTCGCTTACGTCACTGTCATGAGACATTCTCGCAAAAAAATCACGGTTTTAATAACGCAGCAACGCAGCGTTCCTACGGGAAAGTAACGGTAATCTAATTACCGTTTTTGCAATAGTAATCCCTTACTTTACTCGTTACTTGAAAAAAGTAATTAGATTACAGTAACGCATTACTGCCCATCCCTGCTTATAACACACAACAGTGAAGAACCATTTCCAATAGTATCTTTACTATTTTGTTACTGGCAGTCTGTCACAAAAACTGATATTTTGTTCATATTTCATTGGTTTCCCAGGTTGGTTTCCCTCTCAGACTTTTTTATATTTAGTTGAATCTATGTAAAAAATAAATGAAAGATTTAAAAAAAAAAGTCTGAAAGGCATAAAATAACATTTTTGCACCAACAAAAATGCTCAAGAATGGTTTTGTGGTAAATGGATTGGTTCCTATAGAGTGCTTTTCTAATCTACCTGAGCACTCAAAACACGTTATACATTTTATCTGAGTTCTTTCTATCTAACATTCCTGCTCCAATGGATGCATCAGAGAGCATCTTGGAGTTAGTCTCTTGCCCAAGGATACTTGACATATAGACTGGAGCAGCCAGGGATCGAACCCACCGATTAATAGATGACCTGCTCTACCTCCTTGGCAGCAACCCTATTTTTCAGCATGATAAGGATCCCAAACACTTTGCCAGTGCAGTCAAAGCATACCTGGATAGAAAAACAAACACTGGAACAGTATCAGTCATGGATTGTTCTCTCCAAAGCCCAAACCTAAACATTACTAAAGCAGTGTGGGAAAATCTGGACAGAGAATGGAACAAAAGGCAGCCAACGTCCAAAGAAGAGCACTGAATGTCCTTCAGGAACCCTGCAGAACTATTTCTGAAGACTACTTAAATAAATTGCAACAGAGTTCTAAGAGAGTTCAGACTGCATTTAAAAAAATGGATGTAGCCATACAAAAAAATCTAATTTAGTATTTCCATTCATGCTTGCATGTTTCAGTAAAGTGCTGCACCTCATTTCCATTCTCCTCGAAAAATATTAAGAAATGAAGGGCATGGAAGAAAAGCTTGCTCTGTGCACTGCTGAAACAATCTGCAGAGGTTTCCATCGTGGACTTATCTCTCTGTGAGGAAAAGCTATAAATGTGCCTGAAAAAGCCTGAAAAACTTGAAACCCATCACTCATTATGAAACATCAGCTGACTGACCCTTGGAATCAGCAAAGAGCTATGGAGCGATAGTATCAGAGCAATCCCTCGGACTGCATTCTTCTGGACAGAGAACTCTGATATTGTCCACTGGGATTGCCATACCTATCACAGCTGCAGTCTTCTGCTTCTTCTCAACCACCATTATGTCTGGCTAGTTGGCCAGTATGTCTGACTGGAACTTAAAGTCCCACAGGACCTTAGCCCTGTTCTTCTCAACCACTTTTGGCGGTGCCTCCCATCAGGAATTGGAGAACTGGCCTATTCTGTACTTCTCTGATGTTGGCTTCCAGCCTCCTTCTCCATGGAGAGAAGTCCTGTCCCATTTTTTTAAACATGTTATTGCCATGTAACTCAAAATGAGCTAATATCTGTCTCAAAATGGCACTTTTTTCAGTTAATCATTTTGATCATTTTGTTTGTTTTTCTGTATTGTGTTGTGAATAAAATATAAGTTAATAAGATTTGCAAGTCATTGAATTTTTACTTACATTTAACAGTTTCCCAACTTTATTAAAGTTGGGTTTATATACATATAGAACTGTACTCGATCTAAAATATGATGACCATATGAAATTTACATCCTGGCTGTAGGTGAGTGAGTGCTCCCAAAAAATCCTCCCCAAAACGTCTTGAAAGTGGAAGTTCTTGATTGTTATTTGTTTTAGCATATAAACCAAACCATAATCAGGCCAGATATGGCATGCCATCACATAAATAGTGCCATCATTGCCAGGCCTAGCCAACATCTGGTTGACATACACCCTGCCATGACGCCAGTCAGTCAGAAGTATCAGCTTGACACCAGATCCGGGCCAGACCTGTCTGCTATGTGGGCAGAGGCTACAGAATGTGAATGATGTTCAGCAGCTTCAAGCAACTATAGTAGAAACTTTACTTGCAGGTGAGTGATTGAAGCGACTGCTAATGAGAGACTCTGTTGATGACCTGCAGTAAATAATTTAGAGGGTTAACTAAACAACCAGAGCCTGAAATGTCCAAGCAACCAGCCACCAGCTCCAAAGAAATGTGAATCGTATAAAAGTCCTCCTGTGATATTTCTGACTTCCACACTCTTCTGGTGGTTTGTGGCACCATTCTTAAGCCAGTTGTGACAACATTTAATAATCTTCTCCCACTAGAAGTTTATTAAAAGAAAAAGTTTTAGGCCTAATTTTAAAGTTAGTGTCTGAACACTGAAACAGACATAGGAAATGTTTCTGTAGCAGGGAATTCTGATAGCTGAGGAGCCTCTATCTGTAGGAGGACTCTGGGAAGTGCTCCGTTGGGATAATCTGGTGTTAGGATTTCTTTGAGATAGTCACATTTTATTAAAATCACTTCAGGAGTTAACATGGAGGCAGTGTTGTAAGCAAATTTCCAGTTGTTTTCTGATACAACTGAACAAGCCAGTTAACTGTTTTTTGCTGCTCTGAATTTATATTTGAATATCAGCTGTGAAGGACCCTTTTGGAAACCTCTAACTCACTCATCATTTCATCTTTTCAGTCTTACAGATGTACTCAAAATAAAAAAAAAAGCTCTTTTCACATTTGGTCGAGATGTGTTTCTTCAAACTGAAATGCTGTGAGTTGTGTCTTTACAAGTTCTGGTTGCCATAGAAACAAGGTTGTTAGAGCCTGGAGATGCACACTTTTAGAAAGTTTGAAGAAGAAAAAAAAGATAACATAAGAAAAGTGAACCAATAACTCTTTTTGAAAAGTCTTCAACAGACAGCCATGTCTTCAAGGCCCAGAAGCCAGAAGCAGTTTTCACAGTAAGTTTTTGTGGAGTGTTTCTACTGTTTTTCTATGTGAAGCCCGATTTGGTAAATGATGTATGCTATTTACTTTTTACTGTTCTTGCAGGAACACGTGTGGTTTGGGGGAAAATAAGAAAACCCACGATCAGAGTGTTTTCCTGTGTGAAATACTGAAGGGAGAAAGACAGCTGGCAGGGCTTAAAGCCAAGGACGAGGAAGGCACACAGGTGTGAAATTGTCACTGGCATTTCTGGCAGTTTAAGATTTATCAGGTAGCCAGTGTTAATGGTACATTCATAGATACTATATAAAAGACATGTGGCTCAGGAGGTTGGGAAGCGTATCTGTAACCGGTCGCCGGTTCGATTCCCGGGCTCTCTGTCCTGGTCGTTGTACTGGTGTTGGCCAGAGGGGCCGATGGCGCGATATGGCATCCGCTTCATTCTTCTGGTAACAGGGGCAGATAGGGCTGCCACAAACGATTGCCTCCACCAGTGTGTGAATGCGAGAGTGAATG